ACTTCTACTCTCAATCATTATTGGTTTTAGTATAGTGGGAAGAGAATCGCACAGTCGCTTGCACAGGGCGACCCGTCACCGTCGCCATACCGTGGCGATACATGCCGTGGTGAAAATTGCTTATTCATTTCCATGGATGATTTCATGTTTTTGTTAGATTTGGCAATCATTAAGAGAGATATTTTATAATATAAATCTATGAAAGATCCAACAACTCACTTTTTTTATTCCACTGGTGGATCAGTTCTTCTACCATCGACACACTTTTAGAATCTTGGCATTCATTGTAACACGCAAATTCTTCTAAAGGATACTTGTAACATGGATAAGTGGCCATCGGCCAGTCGAAACTAGGTATATCTAGTTTATTGTAAGGATCCGAATGCGACGCGGATAATGCTCCCAAAGTACATCCGTGGCTGGCATTTTTGAAGGACAGGATAGATAATTTTGAAGAACCTAGAAAAAATATCGATAAGCGATAAGCAAAGCTTTCACGAAAATGAACCTAAAAAAGTGATACATATCAATAAGGGAATAGGAGAAATGGAACTCTTCGAAAAAAGGAAAAGAAGAATAGGTAATTTGGTTAAACACACATATGAGGGGGTCTGAAAACTTTCCGACATCTACATGAAGATAGCAGCACTCATAAATAAAAGCTAGTGAATTTCGTTGTTCATCTGTTGACAGACAATTATGGAACAATTTCCTGGAAGGCTTTACAGAAAACGGCTCAGGCGAAGCTCTCTGGCTTATACAGAGTGTTCCTTGAACACACGCTAATATTTAAGGAGGTAATTCTTAGACCCATTTTAAGAAAAAAACTTAGTACGAACGTTCGGTCGAACGCTGCCGATGGTCCTGTCTCTTGGTTAGCCACACTAAGTAGATGTAAAGAGGCAACTCCGGGTTCGGTGAGCGGGCGGTACCCGCAAGGATTTTCCGAAAATCCACCCCTCCACACCCGATCGCATCCAACGCCAGGGTGCGTCTGGGGGGCCTGACCGGCCCCCCGGTGCGGTCGTAACTATGACTCTCTTAAGTGCCCATCAGTCGGATTGTGGACCGCTCCAAGAAAAGAGGTGGATAGAATGGTGTATTGATTTTCCCTCACAAAATTCATTTTGTGGGGCGAAGTTTTTACTCCAGGGCACTCAATCCGGGAGGGGGCATAGGGGGATCAGCAGGTTGAGTCCCACTCAGGGATGAGTGGGGGTGGATGGACGAGATTCTAGCTCCTGTACACAGTAATCATGTGGAAAAGATTCCATTTCAGGGCACTCAACCCCGAGGAGGTGTTGAGGCAAAAAATAAAGAGTTATTGAAATGTTAAAGCGGCGCTGGAATGATTGTGTGACTCTTAATGGAGATTACACAAAAAATGCCCTTTCTTTCTTAGTCCCGAAACTTTTCAGCCCATGTGTCCTAATATTCATGATCTTCTCTACCGTTTCATTTGTCTGCAAAAATGTTTTGTGCAGTGAGAAGCTACCGTCTGTGACATGCACTATGCCGTCACAATCCGTTGGTCCACTCGTAAAGAAAACATTTTAAAAAATGGCTCAAAATTTGACAGAATGATAAAAACAAATTTTTGGAATCGAGTTTTTTCGTTTTTTTTGCATTTCCAAAAAAAACTTGCGAAAGTGATGTATATTTTTACAACATCAGGAAGTGAAGATTTCAAGGAACAAGAACCACACCAATTTTTTTTGAAGAAAAAATATTTTGATGTGACAATTTTCGATTGAAAATCAGGGTGCTGTTTCGATATTGAATGAAAATAAGGGAAGAAATAGCTATATAAGATATAAGTGTTGGAAGTAAGGTTTTATTTTGTGAGTGAAAAAATTTTCGAAAAGAGCGTAGCGAGTTGAGCAATTTCACTAACAAATAATCAACAATTAAGGCAAAATATAAATTATAGTTCAATACCACCTCCACAAGCCACATTAACAACAGTTGTTTTGTTATTTATTTATATAGAGGAAGGTAGGTTAGGTGCACAAAATGTCATATGTCACAGAATGTCTCGGAACTCAGAACATGAGTAAACAGAACAGCACGCCTCTGAAATATGTTTGAAATGCGTTGTTTTAGAGCTATTTTATGAAAACTTCTTGATTTTTGTCAGGAGGAACATTCCCCATTGCACAAATCAATTAAATGCAGAGTGCAACAGACTGTTGGTTGACACTGGAAGTCACAGCATTCTGAAGATGACCTCTGATTTTATGCCTCCAACTGTCAACTACGAACTGCCTTATAAAGTACTGTTCACGAGTAGAGAGGACTGGATCCTCCGAGAGAAGGAAATATTAAGAGCAGATAGTTGTCGGTTCACAGATGGATCAAAAACACCTTCCGGTTCTGGCGCAGGTGTTTTCAGTTGCAGACCCAAGACAGAGATATCAACCAGCTTAGGAACCTATGCAATTGTATTTCAAGCGGAAATCTATGCTATTGACTTGTGTGTGGAGAGATTGGTAGAATCCAACCTCACACACGAGTCAGACAGTCAAGCAGCGTTGAAAGCTATTGGCTCCTACCGAGAAACGTCTAAATTAGTAACAAATTGCCAAAAACGACTCATCTCAATAGGAAGGCTCAACAAATTGACTCTGTTCTGGATTCCTGGCCACACTGGACGCGAAGGCAATGAGGCTGCTGACTCCTTTGCAAAGGAGGGTGCTGCAAGCAGCTTCTTCATCGGTGAGAATCTATCATTGGCATTTAAGGACTTCTGGCAAAATCTTCCAGGATTTGCTCACTACGAGGGATTCATTCACCATTTGAAGCTTGAATCCAAGCAATTATTGGACTACAGTAGGGATGAACTACGATGTCTAACAGGCCTCCTGACAGGTCACTGTCTTCTGAATCATTATTTGTAGGGACTCAGACTGTTGGAAGACGGTATGTGTCACCTCTGTTGGGAAAATGATGGTACAGCAGATCATATGCTTTGTGCCTGCCCCGCTGCAGACCGAATCAGTTTTTCAGAGTTTGGCAGAACCATCATATAAACTGATCGGCTTCGTTGAGAAGCTGGGTTTACTTGATCAAGTTGGAATAGGGCTGAGCCACAATACACGCTTGCAGGTTGCGGTGAAGGGTCGAATACACCCACTAACTTTGGAGTATCGAGCAGTCAATAAATATTTGTTTTTGAAAGGCAATACGCCTACGTGAATCAAAGATGAGTTTGATTCTTTGTATTGAGACTCTGTACCATCATTTATAGCAGGGGAGCCCACGATGCAAAATGAGGATTTACTCAAGCGTCATAGGGACATATTAGGTTGCAAAGCTCAGATGATAAGAAGAAAAAAATGTTATATAATATATACATTTTCATCGGTGGGGGAAGCGGCTATAGATTTTTAAATATGTAAAAAAATACTGTTGCATGGACATACTCGAGCGCGTCAGATATTGATAGCATCAATGTCCTACGTATTTTTAATAATGTTGGTATGTTAATCTGATCGTTTGCATGATGTGGGTGGTTGTACGTAAGGGTTAAAAGTGAAAAGAAAAAAAATTTAATCGAGCGCGTCAGATTTTCTAAGGGGGTGTTAAGTGCAACAAAAAAAAGCTCTCATTCAATAATCTGACGATTTCGATCTGACGCAAACTCGCGGCCATTATTATAATGTGCAAAAAAAATTCGCCATTTTGAAATACTCAAGCGCGTCAGATTAAGATATATATGGTTCATCTTTATGTTTTAGACGTGCTGTCTCATAATCTGACGATTATCTAGAGGGATTCGCTTAATCTGACAAAAACAATATTTTTTTTAATTCAATTCATTGAACTTAATTAATTGGAAAAGCTCAGGAAATAGCATGCAAATAAATAAGTGTATGTTTTTTAAGTAGAATACTTGTATTTATAAGAAAATAATTTTTAAAAAATGCTCAAAAAAATTAATTTCATAATCAATTGATTTATTAATGAAGAAAAGAGAAATGAAACTACATCTATCAATTAATTGATTATTTAATCATCATCTTCATCACGAACGAGTCTCTGTGATCAGCTGTGATGGCGTCATGGCAACATAATTCAGAGTGGGGACGGAGTGAGAGAGTAATAGATAGAGAAAAAATGAATAGAGAATAGAGGAATAGAAACTCGGAGAGGGAAATATAGGTATCACACAGCTTCACACATTAAACTTTATCGACGAATTTTTGTTATTTCGGCTTGCGGAAATCGTCAGATTATATATTTTTCGTTATCCTTGAATTATTTCCTTCAAAATAAAAAAAAATTAGCTACGCTCGAGAATGTCGAAATGACGTTATTTTTTTACAACTTTGCTGCCCTCCCCTTTCTTTACGTCACTCTCAAATTGTCAGATTACTGGAATATACACTTTTTAGCAGGTAATTAACTCACCCTACCTTAATCTGACGCGCTCGAGAATTTCTGATGATCAATTTTTTTTACTAATCTGATCCTTTATCCCTCACGGCCGGTCTTATATATGGGGCTCATATTTGCTGGAGGTACTTACCCAGATACAAGGTATCCCCCTGTATATTAATCTGCCGCGCTTTAGTAAATCCCGAAATCCCCCCTTGAGCTCCCCTATTATTAGCACAGTGAAATTTCTGTAGCTAAATTTATACGTGACCGTAAGAATCCAAAAACATCGCCAAATTTCATCAAATGGTGCTAGACGACCGTCGAATTGAAGTGATAGAGATAGCAGAGGTTACGAACATGCCAAAAGAACGTGTTTGTCACATATTAAATCAACATTTAGGCATGAGAAAGCTATCAGAGCGTTGGATGTTTGCTCACTTTAGACCAGAAACGTGTTCGGATGAACATTTCCAACGCTCACAGAGTAGGCGCAATAAATCCCAGTTTTGGCGCTGTAGATGAGACTTCGATTGTTATACACCATTTCACCCCCTAAATAAAAATACAGTCCAAACAAAGCGGGAACTGGCTTTAAAAAAAGCGAAAACTAATAGTCGTGTAGTTATTTTGAACGATTATCTTCAAAAAGGAAAAACCATTACAGGAACATACTACGCATTATTACTTGACAAGCTTAAGGCAGAATTTGCGGAATACGGCCACATTCGACATGGCAACATGCGATGTTGCCAAAGGACTTTGTCTTTTGGATTTCCTCTGGTATTTAAAAATTTAAAACAAGTCATACGCTACAGAGCCCCTCAGCAAATCCAAAGGACAAATTCGAGAATTCAAAAAAGTCTGCGATGCAAAATATTATGGACAGACTAAAAGATCTATTGAAATTAGATATAAGGAACATTTAACACACCGATATCATGGAAGATCAGAAAAATCGGCAGTCGCCCATCATATTCTGCAACAAAATCATTCAATAAACTATAGTTGATTGAGATTGATTGATTGATGAGATTGAGATAGTTGATTAACAATAACAGACATCTAGATGCCTATGAAAGCATAGAAGTAAGTAAATATAATAATATTATGAATAACGATGGTGGACGAATAGCTAATAGTTCTCTGTGTAGCTTGTTGAAATAATATTTGAGGTACCTAACAGAGGTATCTGACCTTATTACTGCCTACGTGTAGGATAATAACCTATTTACCGCGAGAACAAGGTCCATTTAGAGAGCACTCATTACCGTCGTCCACCCAACCATATTCAACAACATCATCTGTGTTGAACCAAGTTTCATCAAGGTACACTATGTCTATCTTTAATTTTTCGTTAATACTGCTACCGCCATCCTACGATACGAGATAACTCTGTTATGACCATTCTTTTATTCATTTTTCTGTATTCGAAGCCACAATCTAGCAAAATATCACGCAGTGTACTAAAGATTTATATTAATAATCGGAATAATCCCATAACTCGTTACAGACCATTTCTAGGGTCGGAACCTTGTATTCTTCGTAAAACTTATATACAATTCGATGGATCATGTCTTTGTCGGCATTATCAACCTTTTTACGCTTCTGATTATTTCTTTTTCGTTTTTACGAATTGTAATACGAGCAAGTTCAGTCAGCTCCACCATGCGATTACTTGAAGCAGGGGTCCCACATGGTGCAGTCCTTTCGCCACACCTCTTCTCGGTATAAACAGCAGACGTGTCCAAGCCAGAGAACAACTCCAACAAGTTGGCACTCTACGCGGGCGACACAGCTCTGCTGGCGAAATCAACAAGCCAAGCGCTTGTCACCAGATACTTGAAACAGCAGGCGAATAGACTAGAGGAATGGACCAACCTTTGGAAAATCAGTATGAAGCCTGACAAGAGTCAGGACATACTGTTCACCCGGAGGCTGGTACACCCGGAAGGAAACGTCACCTTCAACGGACAAGATTTTCCGTGAACCAACGGACGGTAGAGAATAGGGCTGGCGAGAACCGCCAGACAAAACCTATATCCAACTATAGATCACAAAAGCAACATGGGAGAGTCGCTCCGGTAAGTATAAAATTTTTTTTCCAGATTTCAAACTCACTTCTGCAGATTCACTGAGAAACACTTGTTGGCGATTTGAAGATACTCGTCTCCGGTTAGTTTTTGGGAGCCCCATGCAACAATTACATTCAAATGAAGACACGACTCCATAAAATATTGAATTAACAAAGGCTGGCTTTCGACCAGCCTTTAGCTGGCTTTCGACCAGCCACTTCAGCAAGATGTCAATCTTGCTGAAGTGCCCATCAGTAAGTTGAGGACCGATCCGGAGGAGCGGAAGTGGATTGTTGAAGAGGAGGTGGAAAATATAACAGATCACTGGTATAGGTAATAATTTACTCTGCTTGAACAGCAACAAAAACTGAACTTTTTCGCAAATCACACACTCTCAAATGGTGGCACTGTTAAACTCCTTGGAATAATCTTGGACAATAATCTCAACTGGTCCACTCCTATAGATGAACTGGGCAAAAAATATCCAAATACACGTATGTTCTGCGTCTACTCAAAAAGTTTGCAAACATAGAAACCTTATTGAGTGCCTTTCATGGTCTCATACAATCCCATTTGAATCACGGTATCATTTTATGGGGTAATACTTCAAACTTAAAAAAAGTCTTCATTATTCAAAGGCGGGCTATAAGAGTTATAGCTGATGCAGGATCACTGCCGGCCGCTGTTTGTCGAGTATGGAATAATGTCTGTACCTTCATTATGCATATCGAGTGGTCCAACGAAAACTATGCACCTTGCTTTTCTCCTTTTTTTTGTAACTTAACGCAAAAATGCTCGGACAGGTCAATTTTGCTTTTGAGGGGGATACATTTCAGATGTATTTTTCTACCTGTGCCTTCAACCCTCTAGCGAGGGTGAGTAACAACCCTGAAATTTTGAATGGAAAGTGGGGTCGAGTGATATATCATTTGAAAGGGCACAAAATTCTCTTTTCAATGATACCTAATTTGTTGTATTTACTTGGATAGTTATAAAAAAAGCTCCCGAGTCCATAGAAGATCTTCGCCAACGAATTACAGCAGAGTGCAGAAGTATAACACCTGATATGCTACAGAATGTTAGGAATAGATTTGAACAAAATATGTATTATGTATATGTATGGAAGCAAATGGGTCACATTTTCAGCACTTGCTGAAGTAGGATTCTACTAAGTCAATTACACATTTCAAAGTACTGGATTTAGTTGTTTTTCTTCATAATACCAACATGTTTGAGTGAAATACAACAGATTAGGTATCATTGGAAAGATAATTTTGTGCCCAATCATCAACCAATCGTGATGAAACTTGACATGTATGAGTAATTTTTCATAGAGAAGGTTTCTAGGCTATTGGAACAGCAGCGATACAGTAACATAGTACTAGTTTTTTATATAACGTAGTCAATAAACACATCTATCTATCCATCTGTCTGGATGAGATGAGATGTTCTGCACACAGTAACCGTGTGGGGAAGATTTCATCTCAGAGCATTCAACCAGGGAGCGGCCTTGTGGGTCAGTTAGCTCACAGTCAGTGTTCCATGAGACCCACTTATTTCATTTGTCAAGCAAGTTCAAATATTTGAAGAATCTTGGATTTGAGGAAGCAAGTCTTTATTTAAAAATTCCGACGCCGTAGAAATATCTTCAACTGAGCTTTCAAAAATGTCCATTTCATTATCAGAAACATTACGAAAGGGTCTCCACAACGTCATCCTGATTAAACAATAACAACAAGAACAACATTCAGAAAAACACGGCACTAATGCAAGCCAACGCAGAATAAACTAATTTCATAAATTCTAACCCAAGCCACAGCACTGATAATTCCTTAGAAAATGCAAACAGATGAGTTCACAGTGGACCACACATTTTTTAACCATAATGTTTTGCTTCTGTGCCCATCCAATATTATTTGTTCGACTAGTAAACCAAGACTGAAAGCCTTCAAAAAATGGTGAAAAGTGGAAAAAAATTATAGTAGGATGAAACCCATTAGAAATAGAAGGGAATATGATAAAACTGAAAGGAAAAATAAATTACGGGCGATCTGAGTTCAGGAAGTGGGAGGGGTGAGTTTTTAAGGGTAAAAATGGTTTATCTTGATTTCCGGCAAAACCACAAGTCCTATGGAAAAAATTCAAATAACTAAGTTTTTGGTTTTTTATTTTTGT